TATGCGCCCTTCATTTAGTTGTTGGCGGCAAGGGCCCAGTCGTTCTCAACGAGGCTGCACCTCAGCCAGTTGGAAATGCTTTATACTGACTTTGAGCTTGCTACCGAGAAGGAAAATATCTAAGACCGTCGTTTCGACTTCCAAAATGGAGGGCAAATGAAGTGAAATAGCTCAACGAAGAACAATTGTTTAGGGGTAGATTGAATTAAATATTGGCAGAAGGCGGATATCACGGCTGTTTTGTTTGCTAATTTGTTGACACATGTAAACAAGTGTAAAATTTAAGCACAACGCGTTTGTTTGGCCTAAACTTTAATAATTACTTTAACGTGAGGTTTAATAACAGTTTGCCGTCCGCTGAGAATTCGATCGGAATGTTATGAGGTCGAGTTTTGCTTGCCAGGGAAACGTAGATGAAATGTCTACTTAATTGTGACAAGCAATAAAACCTGTACTCGTCCGCGTTAGTTAAACAGCCTGGACCCACTAACTGATGGTGGTGCGAGTATACGGCATTCTCGCTGGCACCAGCACGAACAGCTGTGAACAAATGCATCCAAGTTCATTCAGCTATGTTGTAAACAGTACTCGAGGTTGGGCCTTCACACGGAACTATAGCTGAACGCACACGTTCGGCCGCACATTATCACACCGTGCGCACTCTCCTACAGCCCTGCTTATTCGTCAAAAGCATACGCACGCATTCGTGCAGGTGCGCCTCCAGTACCACAGAGTAAAGATCAGAAATGGCCAAACTACACAGTAGAAGTCGATGTGGAGTCTGGTGGAATGCGCTCACTAAAATTCTACTCATTTTGGGTCTATTGGTTTCTGTTAAGACCGACCAATCGGCCAAAGGATATTTGACGTTAGGTCGCCGTGTAAGAGGTCTTTTAATGACTCGAACATCTTGAATCTTGTATGCTTTACATTAATGCCGAGTAAATTTTTTATATATTTTTGCCTGCTTCTAATTGTGTCGGTTTCTAATTTCTGTCATAATAACGTCAAATGGAGAAACACTGTAAGCATCAGTTGTAGGAAATAGGCAGATGTAGGTCGATTCACTAAAGGCACAATAACTTTCACGTCTGCACAATAACGTTGCATATCCCCTTGCGTTTTATGCACTTCATTCTCACTTGAACGCTTATCCGTTTAAGTCCATAGGGCTATGTCCACTAGATCACCAATTTTTGAAACTATTTTCTCTCAAGATACGCGTTTTCATTACCCAAATTTCATATGTTCCCTCGTACAATTAGGCAAATGTGGTGAATTACTGCATCCGATAGCAATCTACAAAAATATCGCCATATTTTTATGAGTAAGGCGGCACTTTCTTTTTCGTATTCCATCCATCATTGCCGTAGAAAGGCACATAGCGCGCATATTTGCAGCCCAGCTTCTCAAACATTAATGATTTCGAGGCCAGAAAACCACAATCAACACCTTAAATCAAAGTAGTCGTAAGTCAAATGTCCGGAAGAAGTCAGGTCTGCTTACGAAGGAGGTGATTTAAAGGATAACAACTATGTCGAGGATAGCGCCATTCCGCTTAATTTTCGGTGTCATGAGTGCCTAAATTTGTCTTACAGGGTATTCGTTTTCCGTGCGCTTGGCTGGAGCAAGATGGGTTCTTTGATCCCGTGAACAACTTTGTCTCGAAGACGCCTTTCGTGCAAAGCCGGTCCAAATGCAAAGGCAGGGCTCAGTGCGCCATGAACTGGCTCCCCATCAACTCGGCCCATGCCCTCACTTTCAAGCTGATAGGCACTGACGGTGAGCTAAGTTGCCTCGAATCCTTCTTCATGCGTGCTTTTGTAACCCAAACAAGCAGAGAATTGTGCCAGACTACAATATAACTGTCGCGGAAGGGTCTTTAAAAGGCTCTTTGGTTAATTGCTTAGCCATCTGCTGGACCACGAACAGGATCATACATTCGGCCTGTAATATTTAATGCGTAATGCTATAGGTCCACATACCGAAGTGATCGTGTAAGTGTTTTGGATGCGGAATTGCCAGTTTAAATGACAAAATGTGTTTCACACTTCGGTCTCTTTATTTTAGTTAAGTAGGCTTTGAACAACCTGGTTTGGTTGTCTACGCCTTATGTTTGGACAAGTCACCTCATGCAGTCAAATGCTAAACTTTTGGCACCAACATAAAGGCATATCAAGTGTTTACGTTTCGCGTTTCGAAGCTCGTTAGTTATTTGGGGTCATTTAACAAGCTGTAACTTGCGCAAAACGTGGCCTTGAGCCATGTACGGTTTAGGGTTTGCTAAAACAAGCTAGCTATTTAAAACTACATAAGTAACAAATTTTACTGGCTTTTTGTTCAACAGACATGCATGACTACCTGTTCCAGGCTCACTTTTGCTATCCCGTTTACGAAGCCCAACATTCGCACTGCACTAAACAGGAGGGTGAAGTGGCGTTCACGATGCGACAAATAGGCACCTGGCTAACCCTGTCGACCGTTTTTTGTCGGTGCACACAGCCCGCCGAGGTCTCGTCAATTAGCTACGCCCGTGGGGTCAAACCCTCTGACACCGTCTTCAGAGGAGTTTTTTACGAAATGACATGCACTCCGATGGTAAGGAATACCTTTGTGCTTCACATACACCGAGGTGTGTGGCCGAAGTTGCTGTGTTGACGCTGAATACTAGAAAAAATGCTCCCTCCTTTGGGTAGCGCCACGACCGCATGTTTCGGTGTCAAGCTAAATTAAATGATTAATTTATTTGTTTGCACTGTGGTTTGAGCCGAATGGGCATGATCAACACCGGTACCTGTAGAAATAGCTTTGAGTTTAATGGGCTAGGGGCCATGCTTACACTTTAAATGTGATACCACTTTATTGGTAACGTCGTTTAAATGAAATGACTTAAAAGGTCTTTAATAAATTAGGAATAAGCTAAACATATTGACAATGACACCTGTGAGTAAGTGCTACGAAGTGTGACTCAGATAGATACATTATCATACATCTAAGTATGCATAGCAGGATGTGTGATCAAAGAAAAATCGGTTTGCATTTAGGAAACTACCATATGTTTTTTATTGCGATAAATTAAATTGAAATATAAAATTAGAATTTAGATGATTAAAATATAAATGATTTGACACTGTGATATCTGATTTCTGCCGATTTTATTTTACAAAGATTTTACTGGGTAAAGCCATACAAACCAATCTGATTTCTGCTTTTTTAACGAAGCAAATAATGGAAATGCCTATAAAGATAAGCAATTAACACTGAGCCGAGTGAATGCAAGCAGCAATGCACTAGGTCTAGTGATTCAGTGGACTTGTGTGGCTCTGTCCGCATGCAACGAATGACATTAACAACACCAAATCATTTGACTTCGATGCAGTGTATGCCTTGAATTTCAGCGCGAGTGCAAATCGGATGAGAGCTGCTACATAGAAACTCCGAATAGCGACGGACTCCTCTACGGTGGCAAAGTGATGTGCACGTGCCCGAAAAAAACGTTCTGCCCAATCTACTTTATTCGGGGGAAGCGGATTCCCTTTGTGAACAGTCAACAACGAATCACACATTACGGCCTAAAGTGCAAACAGCGCTCCTACTGAGAGTGCCAAAATGCCTCCCAGACGCGCCCTACAGTTCCGACTATTTGCCACCTTGTGTTTTAGTTTGTCGCCTAACCAAAAAAACGGATCAATTTTATTCTCTCCTGAATTCGTCTGCCCCTAAAATACACTTTATCTTCGGCTTAGTGATTTGTCATTTCTCTCGTATGTAGTAAAATCTTCAACCCACTAGACCTTTGTGCTCGTTACAAGATCAACTGGACTGTATGGATGAAACTTTGTGGTAGTGCCATTTATAGAATATCAAGTTCATCCATCATCTGAATACCAGACACGATATTTTTAGGAGGCATATTTTAGCCACAGCCAGGAATACCAAGACCTC